AATTGAACTCGGTCGCTAAATAGTAGTTAATTTTAGCGACCGAATTGAATTCGGTCGCTAAATATAACTAATATTTGGCGACGGAATTTAATTCGGTCGCTAAATCAGAAATTTTGATTTTTTTAGCGACAAAATTAAATTCGGTCGCTAAATATTAGTTAAAATTAGTGACGGAATTGAATTGGTCTCTAAATAAAAAATTTTAATTTTTTTAGCTACAGAATTAAATTCGATCACTAAATATTAGTTACAATTAGCGATGTAATTCTATTCAGTCGCTAAATATTAGTTAAAATTAACAACGAAATTCTATTCGGTCGCTAAATATTAGTCAAAATTAGCGACAAAATTGTATTCGGTTACTAAGTAAAACTTAAAAAAAATTATAAATTGCTTAAAAGTGATGATAATATTGTTGTTGAGTATCAATCCCATTTTCTTTTTTTTGTAAGAGCAAGACATTAATTTATAATAAAAAATATTTATATGCACTCCTACATAATTAATTCCAATAGTTATTTATGTGAAAAAATATTTAGAGGTTTTTTTCCTACGATTGGATTTTTAGGCAGTTTTTTAATTAGAGTATATGAATTTTAAAATTTCTTATTTATTTTGATCCATATTTATAATATATATTTCTAACTTATGATAACTTTATTTTTAAATAAATTTTTATATTTAAATTTTAAATTAGTATTTTATTAATGGTTGATAATTAGAAAATAAAACAAGGATAAATACATTTTTTGAATTTTATATCTTAGATTTAAGATGAATAAATATATTAAGTTAATTAATAATTTATTTAAAATGTTAAAATTTAATTTATAAAAATGATATTTTAAAAGAGAAGGGTTATAATAACATCGGTGTAACTTTTACTAAGTATTACATAGCTCAATAACTTTATATTAAATGTGAATTTTATAAATTCAACCGTTAGATTGAAAGTTTTTTACTCTTAGATCATATATACAGAATCTTATATGAATTCAAGATGATTTGATACTTCATTCTTGTAAAACAAAATTGGCGTAATATATACATTTCAAAATATACTAAAATATGAACACTTTGATTACCTTCAAGTTGTTGTTCAATTTTAACAAAATTTTACATATATGATCTAAGAGATATGAACTTTCAATCTAACGGTTGGATTTTCAAAATTCACATTTAATATAAAGTTATTGA